AACATAGAATGAATCGAGAAAGATCCGTTCAGCGTGTTCAATCTAGTGACCATGCGGTCACCAGGCGTATCAATCTTTTTTTTGAAGAACTGTATCTTGAGTGCACACATGAGCACATAATATATATATATACATATATACGATATACATATATATATATATATATATATATCGTCACAAACAGAATATATCATCACAAAAAATATATATATATATCGTCACATGAATATATATACGATATATATACATATGTCACAGCCCCTCGTTTGTTGTCCTCTTCTCTCTCTCTGCCTATGGTTTACCGGGCAGTTCTATTTGTGATACCGTATACATATCGTCACATGAATATCAGAGCGCAAAGGCGAAAAAAACAGAAGAAAACAAGAAAAAAATAATTCGTTTGTTAATCTTCTTTCTTACAACTCCCCCTGTTCAGAACCTCTTGCGTACAAGGCCGCCCACGTGGATGTGGGTTGAGCGGCGGCTGCCCCAACCCCCGCGTGTCATATCGACCCACTCGCACACAGCCAAAGGGCAAAGAGGCAAAGAAAAGAGGAAGGGAACAGCCAAATACAACAAAACCGGGGGAAACAAGCAACAACACCAAAAACAGATCCTAGATGACAAGTCCCACATGCACCGCCTGTTATGCGACTTCACACGGGCCTTCACAGGCCCGACATTCCGGTTCAGGGGTACCCAGGCCGGCCTCGCCGAAGGCCAGGCCTTTTTCTCCCGGTAGGCCCTGTTAGCGGCGTTAGGCCACCGGTTGGCGCATCAGCCAGCAGACCAGGATGGCCCAACCGACATGACCGTTTGGGCCTGGCGGCGCTCTTGAGGCTGCCGCCCGCCGGTCTGAGCTGAACGGTCATTTCGACGGTTCGGCCCACGGCGCAGGAGGCCAGCATCGAGGCCGACCGGCCGCCGGATGGTACTTAGGCCGGTCCAGCGGCCATTCCAGCATCTTGGAGCAGCGGCACGCTGGAGGAGCGGTGTGCTATTCTGTTTAGAACGCAGCGCTAGAGGCAGCAGCGCGAGGTTTAGCGCTGGCCTGCACAGGGATAGAGAGGGCAGGAGGTACTTACCTGGCACTTACCTGTGGCACCATAGCTCCAGCTTGAGGCAGGTCTGCAGCGGCTCCAGCTCGCTCCTGCAGGTAAGGCCTAGGGCCAGGGACAGGGCAGTGAGGACTCTCCTCCTCCCTACCTCACCATCTCTTCCTCCTCCTCTGCCACCTCTTCTCCTTCTTCGTCAGACTTTCTTCTTCTTCTTCTTGTTCTTCTTCTTCAGATTTTCTTCTTCTTCTTCTTCTTCTTCTTCTTCTTCTTCTTCTTCTTCTTCTTCCTCTTCTTCTTCTTCTTCAGACCTTCTTCTTCTTCTTCTTCTTCTGAAGACTTCAACTCAGGGGATTTCTACTTCGACGGACAGAGGTCATTGGTTGGTCTATTGGTGACACGAAGGGATTCGACAGTTACCAGATTGGAGAGATTGGAGGTTTTGGGATTGATGTCTGGCGGTATCTAGTTTGGACACCGGTTACATATTTTGTGACCCATTTTGGTGACATCTGGCATTGTCTCTCTCCCCCACCTCCATCGTCTCTTCTCGCCTCCTTCGTCTGTGTATGGTTGTACGGGGTTGGCACATCATCCGTGTATGGCTTCCAACCCCACCTGGGCCATCTTGCAGATGGTTGTGTGGAGAATGATGTCTGTGTGAGTCGGATCCATGTGAGTCAGTCCATATCTCAGACTTCCGCTGTGCATATGCTCATCCTACATTGGTTGATCTTTGGTTCTGCCAATAATTCGTGAACACATTCACTAGTATGCAACACCACCCCTCCTTCACAGGCCAAACGACGGGACAAGACCACCCAGGACAAAACTCTTGTCTGCAAAAAATCCCAGATTACATATCTATATACAACAGATGGCCTTATTCGTCATCAAGACGTTGGCATTCCCATTTGTTAACCATTCGTAACGGGACAAAAAAACATAAAAGACAATCCCAGATGACGATTCCCACATAAAAGCACCGCCTAGCTCCTTCAATAGGCCGAACAACGGAAACAACCAACTAGGATGCCAAAAAGATAAAAAAAGCCCGGATGACTGGTCTGCAATGAACCCAGATCGTGAAGACAGATGTCAACAATGCAAGTCCAGAGAAATGTCGAACAGCTGATGATAATCAATAGTCATAGTCGTTTCCAGATACTCGAGAGATGGAAGACATACACGGACGAATGAGAGGAGGGGGAGGAGAGACTGAGACAGGGGGAAGATAGACGTTGCCCACTTCCTCTTCGGGCTCCCTCCTCGTCCTCCACCACAGTAATCAATAATCTGGAAGAGTGCCTGAAGTATCCTCAATGTGCCACGTGGCACGTATAATTAGTCCCTCATGAGCGCTGGAGCAATGTCGACATGAAGACCTCATCCTCCACAGTCCTGATCTCCTCCAGAATGACGATCTTCTGAACAGCAATACAAGTCCGTAGCCTCGCCACATCAGCAGTAGTAGAATAGTGGCAGCAGCCACTTCAGCCAATAAGACATGTGGCAGCGGCCACATCAGCAACAGCGCGTGGCAGCTTCCACGTCAGCATACCAAGAAGACAGGTGCAAGCCAGCCACCATGCCGGGCAAGCAGCGCTTGCCGAAGTCACAATTATGCCGGCATAGCCAGCGTCCAGCCAGCTTCGCAGCATCGAGCTAGCATTGTAGTCAACGCGTGGAGTCAGCCTCAACGCAAGACGGAATGAATGAATGTCAAAGCCAGGAGGTCAACCTTAAGTAGTGTTGACTCGGGGTCTGGACCCCAAACAACGGATGCTGCAAACTCCAGCCGTCCAGATCTTGATGCAGACGATTGCCCAGATTGGCCTGAAACTGAATTCTCTTCAGCCTGGATGCTTGTCTGGGTACCTGCACACAACAAGCGAGTGTATCCAACCAGGGGCCTGGGCGTGGTACCTTTGACTCTACAGTTGACTTTGACCTTCGACTTTCCTGAGTTCAGCGTTTGGTAACACAGCCAAACGCGGCATACTCAGATCTGGGCATGTCCTGGTCACACAGCCCAGTGCAGACCAGTTTTGGTCTGCGTTGCCTGGGGCTGAGTTCTGGGCCCCGGGCTACTTCTGAACAGGGTTACTGCAGGTCCCACATTAAAGCACCGCTATGCTCGCCGAATAGACCGAACAACAGGACACAGCCAACCGGGATGCAGACAAGGTTACCAAAACAAATTCTACCATATCCATAGTTTAAGAAAACGGAACCATACAGTAGGTCCGCAAAACGAAATACCCCATAAATGGGTAAGAGTAAAGCAAAAAAACAGAAATGATAACACGAAAATTAGGAAAATGTTCTCTACCATAACCAAAGAAAAAGCCTGCTAGTATATATATTGTAATGACCCGCCAAAAACACAGACTGAGAACACTGCTGATTTCTGGGATTTGCCACTGGAATGAATGCCTTGCTGTGATTCCCGCATTCTGCTGTGTTTTCCAAGTCTGTGTGTGTGTGTATGCCTGCCCTTTTGCTTGCCTGTCTGAGTGCTTGACGGTTGAGTGTGTGTGTGACCCGTGAGGGTACCTGTTGGTTGCAAGGCCCCGCAGGGCCGGTACTTACCTGTGGCCGTGACTTTGAAGGGTTGCAGGGGGGTTAACACGCAGGTAGCGGGGGTAGGCCCATGGCACTTAGAGCAGCTGGGGAAAAACACTCAAGTAGCAGGTAGGCCGAGCAGAAGAAGACAAAAAGTTGGCATTTTTAGAGGCCCAGTAGCGGTAGGCTAGAGGTAGGCCGGTACCAGTCCAAGTAGCCCGGGTCTAGGGCCTGTCCGGACAATAACAGAGCCTGCAATGATGTTCCCTCCGAAAGTGAGGAGGTACCGGTTGCTGGGAGGCCGCTCGGCCTAGGAAGTCACCGCCCAGGAGGCCGGAAGGCCGCTATATCTTCAGGGGGAGCACCTTGCTCTTCCTCATTTGCGGTGTGCAAGGATTGGCGACATGCTGCTGGAGCGCAGCGCTCGTCCATACAGCGCTGCTTGGAGGTGAAGGCAGCTGGAGCTCAGCCTGGCTATGGCGAGCGGTCCAGCTTGAGGAGGAGGAAGAAGGGGGTAAGGTAGGAGAGTGGCGAGGTACTTACCTGGCTATGGTGGACTCCATCTTCATCACCTGGTAGGGCGCTGCATCTGGAAGGCCCCCGCTGGGGTAGTACGGCACCAAGGAGGTCCGAGCAGGGTCAGGCATGGCGGAGCAGCAAGCAGCACCATAGCTGATTTGGGGTTGGCCGTTGCACATCAGGGCTAGGCCCAAGTAGTCCGCCATAGCCTAGGCTTAGAGAGAT